GCGAGCGAGTAAACTGCCTCTTCCATCAATCCTATTAGCCAATCTTCAATCATTGGATAACAAATTGGATGACCTAAGATTACGGTTATCCTACCAACGGGACATTAAAAACTGTTAAATCTTATGTTTCACCGAGTCGTGGCTGAACGACGACATGGATAACATACAGCTAGCGGGCTATACGCTACATCGGCAGGATAGAACGGCTGACTCCGGTAAGACAAGGGGTGGCGGTCTGTGTATATTTGTAAACAACAGCTGGTGCACAAAATCAAATACTAAGGAAGTCTCGAGGTTTTGCTCGCCTGAGGTAGAGTATCTTATGATAAGCTGTAGACCACACTATTTACCAAGAGAGTTTTCATCTATATTTTTCATAGCTGTCTATTTACCACCACAAACCAATGCTGGCATTAAGATTGCACTGAATGAGTTGTACAAGGCCATAAATCAACAGGAAAACGCTCATCCAGATGCAGCGCTCCTAGTGGCCGGGGACTTTAATGCAGGGAAACTTAAATCCATTCTACCTAATTTCTACCAGCATGTTAAATGTGCAACCAGAGGAAAAAAAACTCTAGACCACCTTTACTCCACACACAGAGACGCATACAAAGCTCTCCCTCGCCCTCCATTTGGCAAATCTGACCATAACTCTATCCTTCTGATTCCTGCTTATAAGCAAAAACTAACGCAGGAAGCACAAGTGACTCGGTTAATAAAAAAGTGGTCAGATGACGCAGATGCTAAGCTACAGGACTGTTTTGCTAGCACAGACTGGAACATGTTCCGGGATATTCAGACAGCATTGAGGAGTACACCACATCAGTCACTGGCTTCATCAATAAGTGCATCGATGATGTCGTCCCCACAGTGACCGTACGTACATACCCCAACCAGAAGCCATGGATTACAGGAAACATCCGCACTGAGCTAAAGGGTAGAGCTGCCGCTTTCAAGGAACGGGACTCTAACCCGGACGCTTATAAGAAATCCCGCTATGCCCTCCGACGAACCATCAAACAGGCAAAGAGTCAATACAGGACTAAGATTGAATCGTACTACACTGGCTCTGACGCTCGTCGGATGTGGCAGGGCTTAAAAACTATTACAGACTACAAAGGGAAGCACAGCCGCGAGCTGCCCAGTGACACAAGCCTACCAGACGAGCTAAACCACTTCTATGCTCGCTTCGAGGCAAGCAACACTGAAGCATGCATGAGAGCACCAGCTGTTCCGGATGACTATGTGATCACGCTTTCCGTAGCCGACGTGAGTAAGACTTTTAAGCAGGTCAACATTCACAAGGCCGCAGGGCCAGACGGATTACCAGGACGTGTACTCCGAGCATGTGCTGACCAACTGGCAAGTGTCTTCACTGACATTTTCAACATGTCCCTGACTGAGTCTGTAATACCAACATGTTTCAAGCAGACCATCATAGTCCCCGTGCCCAAGGACTCTAAGATAACCTGCCTAAATGACTATCGACCCGTAGCACTGACGTCTGTAGCCATGAAGTGCTTTGAAAGGCTGGTCATGGCTCACATCAACAGCATTATCCCAGAAACCCTAGACCCACTCCAATTTGCATACCGCCCCAACAGATCCACAGATGATGCAATCTCTATTGCACTCCACATTGCCCTTTCCCACCTGGACAAGAGGAACACCTACGTGAGAATGCTATTCATTGACTACAGCTCAGCATTCAACACCATAGTGCCCTCTAAGCTCATCACTAAGCTAAGGATCATGGGACTAAACACCTCCCTCTGCAACTGGATCCTGGACTTCCTGACGGGCCGCCCCCAGGTGGTAAGGGTAGGTAACAACACATCTGCCACACTGATCCTCAACACGGGGGCCCCTCAGGGGTGCGTGCTCAGTCCCCTCCTGTACTCTCTGTTCACCCATAACTGCATGGCCAGGCACGACTCCAACACCATCATTAAGTTTGCCGACGACACAACAGTGGTAGGCCTGATCACCGACAACGATGAGACAGCCTATAGGGAGGAGGTCAGAGACCTGGCCGTGTGGTGCCAGGACAACCACCTCTCCCTCAACGTGACCAAGACAAAGGAGATGATTGTGGACTACAGGGAAAAAAAATAGGACTGAGCACGCCCCCATTCTCATCGACGGGGCTGTAGTGGAACAGGTTGAGAGCTTCAAGTTCCTTGGTGTCCACATCACCAACGAACTATCATGGTCCAAACACACCAAGACAGTCGTGAAGAGGGCACGACAAAGCCTATTCCCCCTCAGGAGACTGAAAAGATTTGGCATGGGTCCTCAGATCCTCAAAAATTTCTACAGCTGCACCATCGAGAGCATCCTGACTGGTTGCATCACTGCCTGGTATGGCAACTGCTTGGCCGCCGACCGCAAGGCACTACAGAGGGTAGTGCGTACGGCCCAGTACATCACTGGGGCCAAGCTTCCTGCCATCCAGGACCTCTATTCCAGGCGGTGTCAGAGGAAGGCCCTCAAAATTGTCAAAGACTCCAGCCACCCTAGTCATAGACTGTTCTCTCTGCTACCGCACGGCAAGCGGTACCGGAGTGCCAAGTCTAGGTCCAAAAGACTTCTCAACAGCTTCTACCCCCAAGCAATAAGACTCCTGAACAGCTAATCATGGCTACCCGGACTATTTGCACTGCCCCCCCCACCCCATCCTTTTACACTGCTGCTACTCTGTTAATTATTTATGCATAGTCACTTTAACTCTACCCACATGTACATATTACTTCAACTATCTCAACTAGCCGGTGCCCCCGCACATTGACTCTGCACCGGTACCCCCCTGTATATATAGCCTCCCTACTGTTATTTTATTTTACTTCTGCTCTTTTTTTCTCAACACTTTTTTTGTTGTTGTTTTATTTTTACTTTTTTTGTAAAAAATAAATGCACTGTTGGTTAAGGGCTGTAAGTAAGCATTTCACTGTAATGTCTGCACCTGTTGTATTCGGCGCATGTGACCAATAAAATTTGATTTGATTGAAGCAAGATTCATCACTCCAGAGAATGCGTTTCCACTGCTCCAGAGTCCAATGGTGGCGAGCTTTACACCACTCCAGCCAACGCTTGGCATTGCGCATTGTGATCTTAGGCTTGTGTGCAGCTGCTCGGCCATGGAAACCCTTTTCATGAAGCTCCCGACTAATAGTTATTGTGCTGACATTGCTTCCAGGGGCAGTTTGGAACTCTGTAGTGAGTGTTGCAACCGAAGACAGACGATTTTTACACGCTACGTGCTTCAGCACTCGGCAGTCCCGTTCTGTGAGCTTGTGTGACCTACCACTTCGCGGCTGAGCCGTTGTTGCTCCTAGACATTTCCACTTCACAATAACAGCCCTTACAGTTGACCGGGGCAGCTCTAGCAGGGCAAAAATTTGACAAACTGACTTGTGGGAAAGGTGGCATCCTAAGATGGTGCCACGTTGAAAGTCACTGAGCTCTTCAGTACGGGCTATTCTACTGCCAATGTTTGTTTATGGAGATTGCATGGCTGTGTGCTCGATTTTATACACCTGTCAGCAACGGGTGTAGCTGAAACAGCCGAATCCACTAATTGAAAGGGTAGTTCTTATACTTTTAGCCATGTAGTGTAAGTAGCAATAGTTTTTGTTATTTATAAACTCAGGTTCCCTTTATCTAATATTAGGTTTTGGTTGAAGATCTGATAACATTCAGAGTCAAATATATGCAAAAATAGAGAAAATCCCGGCACTGTAATACTAGTACTACAAATATACTGTGCTGAATGCACTGACTGTAAGTCACTCTAGATAAGATCGTCTGCTAAATGACTCAAATGTAAATGTGTCTGCTGTTTATTAGTACTGTCCAGTGGGTCTACACTGTCCATTGTTTCCTGATTTTCTATGAAATATGACCTATAATTAATGACAATATGAGTGAAACAGTTTTCCTTCCAATAAATGGTAATCAAGTATGTTATACTGAACAAAAATATAAACGCAACATGCAACAATTTCAAAGATTTTACTGAGTTAGAGTTCATATAAGGAAATCAGTCAGTTGAAATAAATTCATTAGGCCCTAATCTATGGATTTCACATGACTGGGCAGGGGCACAACCATGGGTGGGCCTGGGAGGGCATAGGCCCACCCTCTTGGGAGACTGGCCCACCCACTGGGGAGCAAGGCCCAGCCAATCAGAATGAGTTTTTCCCCACAAAAGGGCTTTATTACAGGCAGAAATACTCCTCAGTTTCATCAGCTGTCCGGGTGGCTGGTCTTAGACGATCCGGCAGATGAAGAAGCCGGATGTGGAGGTCCTGGGCTGGCGTGGTTACACGTGGTCTGCGGTTGTGAGACCGGTTGGACGTACTGCCAAATTCTCTAAAACGACGTTGGAGGCGGCTTATGGTAGAGAAATGAACATTAAATTATCTGGCAACAGCTCTGGTGGACATTCCTGCAGTCAGCATGCTAATTGCATGCTCCCTCAACTTGAGACATCTGTGGCATTGTGTTGTGTGACAAAACTGCACGTGAGTGGCCTTTTATTGTCCCCAGCACAAGGTGCACCTGTGTAATGATCATGCCTTTTAATCAGCTTCTTGAGATGGCACACCTGTCAGGTGGATGGATTATCTTGGCAAAGGAGAAATGCTCACTAAAAGGGATGTAAACAAATTTGTTAAAAAAAAGAAGAGAAATAAGCGTTTTGTGAGTATGGAACATTTCTGGGATCTTTTATTTCAGCTCATGAAACATGGGACCAACACTCTACATGTTGCGTTTATATTTTTGTTCAGTATAAAAAGTTGTGGGCGTACCCCAACAACAGAATGGTGTGAGCGTATACCGGTCATTAAAAATACAAAAGTACAGGACGAGTCAACAACATTAATTGGGTATGAGTTAACAGAATATGAGCATTTTACAAGTGAGATTAATACAGTGGCCTACCATGTTGTCTTCCAGATAAGAGGACAGATCCATGGTTACTGGTCTACTCACCCATGCCAGTGGCTTCTATAGTCCTCCTCTATCTCGGTGTGGTCTGGGCTGGGCCCAAGCTGATGAAACACAGGGAACCTGTTGACCTCAAGGCTGTGCTCATTGTCTACAACTTCGCCATGGTCTGTCTGTCTGTCTACATGTTCCATGAGGTGTGCTCCAACCCTCATCAAAATGAGTGGATTTCTCTTTAAACGTGTGTGTGGTGTGTGTGTGTGTGTTCAGCAGCCACAGAAATGGGCCTAATTGTGTTTTATAATGATATGTTTCACCTGACCTATAAGGGTTTTGATGTTGCAGTTCTTGGTCACGTCCATGCTGTCTAAATACAGTTACCTGTGTCAACCTGTGGATTACAGTACTAGCCCACTGGCAATGAGGGTAAGAGTGCGTCTGAAAAGTCCCTACTGTACACAAACCGTTGGACCTCTCATATAGGATATAGTTGACCTAACTGGCAAATGCCCGCAAATAGTACACATATCTATTCCATCTCTGAAGACTGTCCCAAAGCCCTGGCCATAACAGTGGATAACTGTCTCTGTCTGTTTGTTTCACCAGATGGCCAAAGCATGCTGGTGGTTTTTCTTCTCTAAGGTCATAGAACTGGCTGACACGGTAAAACACATTGAAAATCAGGGTCATATTCACTAGGCACCGAACAGAAGAAAACAAACTGAAATGGGGACTACTGTCCAGGAAACGTGTTCCGTTGCAAAACGTTTTCCTACGGTGTGCATTAATCAATATGACCCAGGATTAGCGTCAGACTCATGTGAAACACTGGAAATCCATTTCAAACCCATTCCAAACTCTCCATTGACAGGTGTTCTTCATCCTGAGGAAGAAGAACAGTCAGCTGACCTTCCTGCATGTCTATCACCATGCCACCATGATCTTCAACTGGTGGGCAGGGGCAAAGTACCTGGCTGGAGGCCAATGTAAGTCTAGCAGTACGAAGACCAGGAGTTCTTTCTGATCACATGTCTTCCTGACCAGGAAAAACTCTGGATCCTACTCGTTAATGCTCTGTATCAACGCATATGTTATGTTTCAGGGCTGCCATACATTTGTTTAATTAACGTCTTATAAGATGTTTTATCAACTCTCTGTTGGCACTTATCATCACCTGGTAGGCACCTGGTAGACTTACAAATATACATATTCATTGTAAGTCGCTCTGAATAAGAGTGTCTGCTAAATGACTAAAATTTAAATGTAAAATTATTAATGGGGTCCTAGCAAATTGTCCATACCATGCATGATGTTGTGCAACAGATAGTTGAGATGTTTTGTGTTCCTGTCTCTCCTAGCGTTCTGCATTGGCCTTCTCAACACCTTCGTCCACACCGTGATGTACTCCTACTATGGACTGGCTGTCCTTGGGCCTCACATGCAGAAGTACTTATGGTGGAAACGCTATCTGACCTCACTTCAGCTGGTGAGTGGCTCTATCTTCAGCTCTGCATACATCTAGTGGGGTTTAAGCAAAAGGGATACATCTGGGGTTTGTGAATTGGTTGGCTACTACAGAAGCTTCGATAGTATTGGGATTAAGGCCTAGATTCAATCAGTTCAGTGTTAACCCGCTTTTGGTTAGGCGATGTCGGAGGTGTAACTGTTAGAGTTGTCAAATCGGTGAGTGGCTGCTCTTGTGGTCATTGTCAAGAAACCACACCCATCCTTAAATCCCACCCGCATTAATAGTTCAGAATGACTATATAGAAACCATGACACTCAAAGTGAAAACCATTAACCTCTACAGGATCGGTGTCCTTATACCAGGACGGTTGCTGCTCAATATGCGATATGTGACTAGAATGGCGTTGTAAACAACAGCCAACATTCCGGGACATAGACATGTCTTATATGTGCAGAAAGCTTAAATTCTTGTTAATCTAACTGCAGTGTCCAATTTACAGTAGCTATTACAGCTAAAGAAATACCATGCTATTGTTTGAGGATAGCGCACAACAACAAAACACTTTTGACACGGCAACTGGTTTGAAACATTCACCTCTGAAGGTAAATAATGTACTTACATTCAGTAATCTTGCTCTGATTTGTAGCAGAGTTTTGGTTGATAAAATCAATTTTTATATTCAAATGTAGGTATTTGGTATTTTATTAGGATCCCCATTAGCTGTTGCAAAATCAGCAGCTACTCTTCTTGGGGTCCACTCAAACATGAAACATGACATAATACAAAACATTAATAGACAAGAACAGCTCAAGGACAGAAATACATACACACAAACTATCTAGGTCAAATAGGGGAGAGGCGTTGTGCCGTGAGGTGTTGCTTTATCTGTTTTTTTAAACCAGGTTAGCTGTTTATTTGAGGAATATGAGATGGAATGGAGTTCCATGCAATAATGGCTCTATATAATACTGTACGCTTTTTTGATTTGGGGACTGTGAAAAGACGTCTGGTGGGGTAAGTGTGTGTGTCAGAGCTGGTTGTAAGTTGACTGTGCAAACAATTTGGGATTTTCAACACATTAATGTTTCTTATAAAAAGAAGAAGTGATGCAGTCAGTCTCTCCTCAACTCTTAGCCAAGAGAGACTGGCATGCATAGTATTTATATAAGCCCTCTGATTACAATGAAGAGCAAGACGTGCCGCTCTGTTTTGGACCAGCTGCAGCTTAACTAGGTCTTTCCTTGCAGCACTGGACCACACGACTGGACAATAATTAATATTAGACAAAACTAGAGCCTGCAGAACTTGCTTTTTGGAGTGTGGTGTCAAAAAAGCAGAGCATCTCTTTATTACGGACAGACCTCTCCCCATCTTTACAACCATTGAATCTGTATGTTTTGACCATGATAGTTTACAATCTAAGGTAACACCAAGTAATTTAGTCTCCTCAACTTGTTCAACAGCCACACCATTCATTACCAGATTCAGCTGAGGTCTAGAACTTAGGGAATGATTTGTACCAAATACAATGTTCTTAGTTTTAGAGATGTTCAGGACCAGTTTATTAGTGGCCACCCATTCCAAAACAGACTGCAACTCTTTGTTAAAGGTTTTTGTGACTTCATTAGCTGTGGTTGCTGATGCGTATATGGTTGAATCATCAGCATACATGGACACACATGCTTTGTTTAATGCCAGTGGCAGGTCATTGGTAAAAATTGAAAAGAGTAGAGGGCCTAGAGAGCTGCCCTGTGGTACATCACACTTTACATGTTTGACATTAGAGAAGCTTCCATTAAAGAAAACTGAGTTCTATTAGATAGATAGCTCTGAATCCATGATATGGCAGAGGTTGAAAAGCCATAACACATACGTTTTTTCAACAACAGATTATGGTCAATAATATCAAAGGCTGCACTGAAATCTAACAGTACAGCTCCCACAATCTTCTTATTATCAATTTCTTTCAACCAATCATCAGTCATTTGTGTCAGTGCAGTACATGTTGAGTGCCCTTCCCTTTAAGCATGTTGAAAGTCTGTTGTTAATTTGTTTACAGAGAACTGTAAGTCACTCTGGATAAGAGCATCTGCTAAATGACTAAAATGTCAATGTAAATAGCATTGTATTTGGTCAAACACCATTTTTTCCAACAGTTTGCTAAGAGCTGGCAGCAAGCTTATAGGTCTACTGTTAGAACCAGTAAAGGCCGCTTTACCATTATTGGGTAGTGGAATTACTTTGGCTTCCCTCCTGGCCTGCGGACAAAGACTTTCATCTAGGCTCAGATTAAAGATATGACAGATAGGAGTGGCTATAGAGTCCTCTACCATCCTCAGTATCTTTCCATCTAAGTCAATGCCAGGAGGTTTGTCATTATTGATCAATAACAATAACTTTTCCACATCTCCCACACTAACTTTACAAAATTCAAACTTGCAATGCTTTTCTTTCATTATTTGTTTTTTTTATGCATGAATACGATGGCTCACTGTTCATTGTTGGCATTTCCTGCCTAAGTTTGCCCACTTTGCCAATGAAGTAATAATTAAAATAATTGGCAACATCAAATAAGCCATCTGATTCGATGAAAGATGGTGTAGAATTTGTCTTTCTACCCATCATTTCATTTCTTTATATCATTGATCTTGGCTTCATGATACAGTTTCTTCTTCTTTTTGTAGAGTTTAGTCACATAATTTCTCAATTTGCAGTAAGTCAACCAGTCAGATGTGCAGCCAGACTTATTAGCCACTCCTTTTGTCCCATCTCTTTCAACCATACAGTTGTTCAATTCCTCATCAATCCATTGAGCCTTAACAGTTCTAACAGTCAGTTTCCTAACAGGTGCATGTTTATCAATAATTGGAAGAAGCAATTTAATACATTTATGAAGTGCAGCATCTGGATGCTCCTTATTAATCACATCAGACCAACAAATATGTTTTACATCATCCAAATATGAGTCACAGCAAAATATTTTGTATGATCTCTTATGCACTATTTTAGGCCCAGCTGTTGGAACTTTGGCTTTCCTGGATATAGCCACTATATTGTGATCACTGCATCCAATGGGTACGGATACAGCTTTAGAACAAATGTATACAGTATTAGTAAAAATGTGATCGATACATGTGGATGATCTTGTTCCTGTAGTGTTTGTAAACACCCTGGTAGGTTGATTAATAACCTGAACCAGATTAAAGGCACTGGTTAAAGTAAGAAGCTTCCTCTTGAGCGGACAGCTTGATGAAAACCAGTCAATATTCAGGTCCCCAAGAAAGTAGACCTCTCTGTTTACATCACATACACTATCAAGCATTTCACACATATTATTTAAATACTGACTGTTCGCACTTGGTGGCCTATAGCAACACCCCAAAAGAAAAGGCTTTAGATGTGGCAAGTGAACCTGCAACCACAACACTTCGATAACACTTGACATAAGATCTTCTCTAAGCAGTACAGGGATATGTCTCTGAATATATACAGCAACACCTGCCCCATAAGCATTTCTGTCTCTTCTATAGATGTTATATTCTTGTATTGCTACTGCTGTATCATCAAATGAATGATCTAAGTGAGTCTCAGAAATGGCTAATATATGAATGTTAGCGGATGTTAGCAAGTTATTGGGCGCGCTCCAGCTCAATTTTCCTGGTCCATCTTCAATTTCTCAGAGATCATTTCCCTCACTTTGTCCTCAGACTCCGTCCAGGTCTCATGGAGATTTTGCAATTCCGTCCACAACCATGTTGTTACGCCTTGATTGTCCTTCGAGTCTGATTTATCCGTCATTGTTATCATGGATTCACAGACAGAACTGATGTCCTCTCTCAATGACTTACAGATTGCTGTAATCTTGCCGTTCTCCCGTTTCAACTCATCCAGCTGACACTGGGAGAACTACAAACTGTTCTTCAGGTGCTGGGCCTCTCTGGTCAGGTCGTCCATTATTTTATTAGTCGAATCCACCAGTATTTGGACAAAGCACTTGAAGCTATCTTCTTGTTGTTGTAACAACTGCTTGTAGAACTCTTTTTGTTCATTTAAAAGATCCTTCACGTGTGATAGAGAGACACCACTGTCCTCGACAACAGTACTCCCGCCGGCTTTGGTCTTTGTCATGGTAGCTAGCAACGTAGGTTACGCTGTTACTCCTCGCAATTCCAGACAGGGCAGGTCACAGGGAAGATTGAAAACAACAAACAACAGGGATCTAGACATCCACAAACCCGGGACAATCCACGGTCCCAGCCACAATGGCTAACCGCGTTGCAGGCTGCGTTCAAGCCCTCAAGAAAACCCTGCTACATTTTACATTTTAGTCATTTTGGCAGACGCTCTTACCCAGAGCGACTTACAGTTAGTGAGTGCATACATTTTTCATACTGGCCCCCTGTGGGAATCGAACCCACAAACCTGGCGTAGGCTAGCTGCAACGCCAAATAGCTCCTCAGACCTGTCCTTGGTCGAAAAGATCACTGGACAGAGACTAGCAATCCCAGCAACTGATGCCAACTGTGTTGCGGGATCCAACCTAAAAAGTTAGCTAGCTACAAAGAACTTCCCAATACACTTTAAAAACAACAAATCCGAGCTCTTCCTTGTTCAACAGGAAGTACTTGTGAGGAACTGGGTTCTACAGTTTTTTGACCCCCTGCTGTCTCAGGCTCCACCCACAAAATATTGTGTAGTGATGTAATCCTTCACTGGATCAGTCTGAAACTTTTCACACATAATGCTGCCATCTTGGGAACAACAGCTAAATTACACCTAGATTCCTACATCACTCTCTGGCCTTTCTCTTCCATTTCAAAGCTGATGCAAAAAATAAAATAAAACGCATGTTTTTTTGTTTGTATTTTCTTTTACCAGATCTAATGTGTTATTCTCCTATATTCATTTCACATTTCCACAAACTTCAAAGTGTTTAATTTCAATTGATACCAAGAATATGCATATCCTTGCTTCAGGTCCTGAGCTACAGGCAGTTAGATCATTTTAGGCGCAAATTGAAAAAAATAGTACGATCCTTAAGAGGTACGATAAGCTAAGGATTTATATCAGCCTAGTGGAGGTGTATATTACATCACACATTCCAGTGTTCGTACTTGTATCACTTCTGAATTGGATTTCTATTAATGCGACATGGTGCATCCAATGGCGATGTCCGCGACAGGTATAAGCATGGCGCTTGCAACGCCAGGGTTGTGGGTGCGTTTCCCACGGGGGGCCAGTATGAAAAGATTTATGCACTCACAAACTGTAAGTCGCTCTGGATAAGAGCGTCTGCTAAATGACTAAAATGTAATGTAAATGTAAAATGTAAAAATGTATAACACTTGGAGACAATTGTGGATTTGACAGCTCTAACACAGTTACACCTCCTACATCACCTAAACAAAAGCAATCATATGCTATGCAGTTGTCGGTTATATCGGGTTAACGCTGAACGGATTAAATCTAGGCCTTATGAGTGGTAGAAAACAGATCATGTGATTATGAACAGAGATTTTTCAGAGAAAGTTATACCTCCAAAACTGTCTGAATCTGAACCAATTGTTCTCCTCACGGTGGTTTCAGCTCCAGTTTGTCCTGCTGGCCACTCACACGGGCTACAACCTCTTCACTGAGTGTAACTTCCCAGACTCCATGAATGCCTATGTGTTTTTCTACTGTGTCAGCCTCATCCTTCTCTTCAGCAACTTCTACTATCAGAGTTACCTCAGCAGGAAGATCAAGAAGACGTAAAGGATATGGCCGTGACCCCGAGGGTGTCTCCGAGGGTGTCTCAGGCGGAGTTGGGATATGCAGAAAAACACATTTCCAATTTAATAGGACAAATATAAGCACACACCAAATGATGATTTTTTTATCATTATTATATCCATAATCACACATTGTGTCTTACTGTACCTGAATTCAATTCACTGTCAATTTAAACATTTTTCAAAACATTATCTGGAGATGTATTTATGTGAAGCCTCCTACAATATGCCCTATGGCAGCATTTCCCAAACTTGGTCCTGATGGACCCAGAGAAGTGCATGTTTTGGTTTTTGCACTAGCATTACACAGCTGATTCAAATAATTTCCCTTTTTATTTTTTTTCATATGTGTAGTTCTATGGCAAAACCAAAATGTGCACCAAGGGGGCCCCAGGACCGAGTTTGGGAAACCCTGGTCTATGGTATCTACTTATTGATTGTCTTTAACTGGCTGTGAACCTATGGAAACATCTGTCATTCATGAGAGAGAGAGAGAGAGAGAGAGAGGGTGCGAGAGAACAGGGATTACAAGTTGTCTCAATACCACTGCATTCCTTTTCATAATGTTACGGTGAAAAGTTGAGAATGCTCACAAGAGGGCAGAGTCTGTCTATGGTTGGTGTTCCTCTTACCGGTGTGTCGAACTGTTCACCACTGTCTAATTTGTCTGCAACTTCACATACGTTACTTTATGTAGTGCTGCTGCTTTTATCTTGGATATTCATTTAACATTATAGCAGATATATTGTGCTTTAGTTATTTGAGGCATAGATGCTGTACTTGGTGCTATAACCATGTTATATCACCAAGCAAGGCTTTAAGGAAAAGGAGAAGAATACCTGACCACTGTTTTGTTTGAATGCTCCTCCGATACTTAAAACAGTCTTCTTTTATTGACATGGAATTACCCTGCAGTTGTGATAGTTCTGTGGCCATAAGATATTTGTATTTATTAGGGACCCCCATTAACTGTTGCCAAGGCAGCAGCTACTCTTCCTGGGGTCCAAACACATTAAGGCACTTACATTACATATAAAACAAAAACGATAAAACAGTACATCATATAACATTAAAAAGTCACAATTTCGTGTTATTGTACAATTATTTATTTCTTAAACTTGGAAATAACAAACATTCAAAAGACTGCTTTAAACAAACTGTACATTTATACACATGATAAAGTAGATTTGACTGTGTTCCAGAATATTTCATGTATGACCATCCACCACCCCTCCTTTTACCTTTCCAGAAATATCTTTAGACAATCTAAACAAATAAACAAAAACAAGGCATTTCATCCACTGCAAAAACAACGCAAAATTATATATTTTTCTACATTTCAGTCTTTAGTAGATTGAACGATGTAGAAAGAAAGAGAGAGGGAGAGAGAAAGAGGAGGGAATGCTTGAGTAGGTCATGTGTCCATTTGGATGCATCGGAGTCCATGTGGAATCTGTTCGGCGGGGCTGGAGGAAGCTCTGTCATGTTCGAGTTTTTACTGACTGAGTCGTTTTTAAAGCAGTAGAGCTTGTTTTCAATTATATTGTTTTCTTTAGATCAGAACAAACTTGTAAGGAGACCAAGGAATGGATGCCACTTCAGACTATTGAGATGCATCGCCCGTATAGCGATACCCAGGGCAGCATCAGGTCCTCTATGTCTCTGTGTAGACAGAGGACATCTGGCTCAGGCTGCGGTCGAAGCTGTTCACCTGGAAGAAGATGCTCTCCTCTGGGCTGGAGGAGAACTGGCACTCCCCTGATCCCTGGAGGTCCTGTGCCAAGCTGAAGCCTGGGGGAGGAGACCACTGAATTAGAAACACAATCAAATTTGATACTACACTGTTTAGTGTGTGGGGAATAGTTGGCTTGATCAACATATATAAATAATTAAATTATTGCTTAAAGCACACACACACACTTCTCATTCAATGAACAAGGAGGGGGAAAGACAAAACGCTGAAAGAAATGACAGGGAAACAAATGAAATGTTAGAGGAGGAGAAGGAGGAAGTTGAGATGATCTATGCCAGGTCTCACCTGCAGCAGAGCCACTGCTGGTGCTGGACATGTGGAAGCCGTTGTGCTGGTGAGAAGTGTAGCCATGTGAGTCAGCTGGTACATGAACACCACTCACAGACTGTTCCATTCTGTAGGAGTCTCCAAAATGGAAGCAGCTCTGAAAGCTGCCCTGGTAATCTACAGAGAGAGGGGAGGAGAGGGTCAAGCACAGAATAACTAGAATGTACAAAGCCCCTAACACCACTGCAATTTAACTGGAACCCTTGTGGGAACGCTCAATATGGCCTCTGGACCTATAGACTTGGGTCCAGTGGGAATACCCATTTTAGTCATTCTATTTCTATCGGGTCAAGAGGGGAAGGGAAAGGGAAATAAAAGTGTCTGAAGGGGGAATTCCTTGTGACCAAACAATACGGATGATTATTGTGTTTGTAAAGTGATTCCATACATCAACTTGAAACATTGTGTGGCTTCGAGCTATTATAACGCTACATTTGTGTTAGTGCGCTAACTCTTCCAGTTCCTCCGTGTTAGCATTTGTCAATTGTCCCCCTTCTATTTTTGTACTCAAGTACGGGAGTCATGATAATGTGAAAGCAGCCTTTTCTGGAGCACTTTACGCAACTCCCCGACCACAGCGTGGTTTCAGAGACATCCACGCGTAGATCTTTAACAGGGAAAGCTGTGTTTAAGGCATTAGGGAGTGGGTCTGCAGTGACAGCTAGCTAGAGCAGCCTTAGTGGAGCAGCCTTAGAGAGCGAGAGACAGCTGACTACAGAAGGCAGCGTTTTGTTGGCTAATTCAGAGCAGAGGAGGTTCATGCCTGTGGTTTCTCCTGCTCTGTCTCTCTGACTGCAATCTTCTCTCTCTGCTCAACGCTAAACGCTCTAACAGATCCACGGAACGCGTCCCAATTCTCCGACACGGCTTCCTCCCCTTGTGTCCTTTCATGTTCATATGTTGGTAAAGTGTGAGGCATAGGCCAAGGCCAATTCAATGGAATGGAATGTTTTAAACGGTGCAGTTAGAAATGTATTTGATGCTTTTCTCTATTCCACACAAAATAAAGTTGTCAGTTCCATAAAAGTGGGGTGTTCAGAGAGTTGCAGATAGAAATCTATTACATAGAACTTCTGCATTATCTATCCTATATGAGAGAAAGTTGAGTCAGTTGTGTAATATACTGAGTGTACAAAACATTAGGAACACCTGCTCTTTCCATGACATAGACTGACCAGGTGAAAACTATGATCCCTTATTGATGTCACTTGTTAAATCCACTTAAATCAGCATAGATGAAGGGGAGGAGACAGTTTAAAGAACGATTTTTAAGCCTTTAGACAATTAAGACATAGATTGTGTATTTGTGCCATTCAGAGGGTGAATGGGCAAGACAAAATATTTAAGTGCCTTTGAACGGGGTATGGTAGTAGGTGCCAAGGCGCACCAGTTTGTGTCAGGAACAGCAATGCTGTTGGGTTTTTCACGCTCAACAGTTTCCCGTGTGTATCAAGAATGGTCCACCACCCAAAGGACATCCAGCCAACATGACACAACTGTGGGAATCATTGGAGTCAACATGGTCCAGCATCCCTGTGGAACGCTTTCGACACCTTGTAGAGTCCATGCCCCAAGGAATTGAGGCTGTTCTGAGGGCAAAAGGGGGTGCAACTCAATATTAGGAAGGTGTTCCTAATGTTTTGTACACTCAGTGTGTACATTTCTATATTCAACCAATGCTCTGAGGGTTCCAGCCACTAAATTGGCCTGTTGGTTAGCTTGGGTTGAGAGAGGCGAGACTGTGTTGGTCTGGTCTTACCGTCGCTGGCAGCCTGGTGGTGGTAGTGAGAGTAGGGCTTGTGGTGGGGGTGGAGGTTCTGCTGCTTCTCCTGAGGAGGGGAAGTGCCTGTACCCTTCATCCCTGGGGAGAGGAGAGGACCTGACACCCTGGAGGACAGAGAGAGAGAGAAAGAGAGAGAGTGAATCAATTGTCTAATTTCTCATTTTGAAATAATCAGATGCTCAAGTGCATAAATACATTGATTTCCTATTTATACACTCTGACATCTGTGGTGTCGTATGATTATTGTCACACCCTGGCTCTGGGACTCATTATGTTGAGCCAGGGTGTGTTCATTTCTATGTGTGTATTTCTATGTTGGGGGTTCTAGTTTGTTGATTTCTATGTTTGCCTGTGTGACTCCCAATCAGAGGCAACGAGTGTCAGCTGTTGGCTGGTTGTCTCTGATTGGGAGCCATATTTAAACGGTATGTTTTTCCCTTTGGGTTTGTGGGTTTTTGTTCCGTGTTCGGTCATTGATACCGTGGACGTCACGAGTCGTGTTTTGTTTTGTATTTTGACGCTTTAACTAATTAAAGTCATGTTTGTTCATCACGCTGCGCCTTGGTCTACTCCTTACCTCGACCTTGACAGAAAAACCCACCATGCAACGACCAATCAGCGTGTCCAGGGGCAGCTCTTGGGCTGGACATGGGAGGAAGCGCCGGGAGAAGAGACGGTGGAGGCGCGCCGTAGAGAGGAGCTACGGCGTGATCAGGGTCGTCGTCGGACGGTCGTGAGGCAACCCCAGAAAATTTTTAGGGGGGGGCACACGGCATGGACGACGGGGCTGACGGAGGAGAAAAGGGGGCGGATCCAGAAGGCCACCAGGCCAGGGGTACACCGCCCTGTATGTCCTGTGCGGATGCCTCACACAGAGTGTGTGAGGGTAGGCATTCAGCCAGGACGGGTGGTGGCCGCTCTTCACTCCAGGCCTCCTATCCGTCTCCACAGCCCGGTTCGGCCTGTCCCTGCTCCACGCACCAAGCCTACGGTGTGCGTCGACAGCCCAGCCCGGCCTGTCCCTGCTCCACGCACTAAACCTACGGTGTGCGTCGCCAGCCCAGTCCGGCCTGTCCCTGCTCCACGCACCAAGCCTACGGTGTGCGTCGACAGCCCAGCCCGGCCTGTCCCTGCTCTACGCACCAAGCCTACGGTGTGCGTCGACAGCCCAGCCCGGCCTGTCCCTGCTCCACGCACTAAACCTACGGTGTGCGTCGCCAGCCCAGTCCGGCCTGTCCCTGCTCCACGCACCAAGCCTACGGTGTGCGTCGCCAGCCCAGCCCGGCCTGTCCCTGCTCTACGCACCAAGCCTACGGTGTGCGTCGCCAGCCCAGTCCGGCCTGTCCCTGCTCCACGCACCAGGCCTACGGTGTGCGTCGACAGCCCAGCCCGGCCTGTTCCTGCTCCACGCACCAAGCCTACGGTGTGCGTCGACAGCCCGGTCCGGCCTGTTCCTGCCACCCGCACCAAGTCTACGGTGCGCGTCGCCAGCCCGACCCGGCCTGTTCCTGTCACCCGCACCAAGTCTACGGTGCGCATCGCCAGCCCGACCCGGCCTGTTCCTGCCACTCGCACCAAACCTACGGTGCGCGTCGCCAGCCCGGTCCGGCCTGTTCCTGCCACTCGCACTAAGCCAGGGGTGCGAGAAGTCAGCCTGGTAAGGCCCGTTCCTTCTCCACGCACCAAGCCAGGGGTGCGAGTCGTCAGCCTGGTAAGGCCCGTTCCTCCTCCACGCATCAAGCCAGGGGTGCGCGTCGTCAGCCTGGTAAGGCCCGTTCCTCCTCCACGCACCAAGCCAGGGGTGCGAGTCGACAGCCTGGTTAGGATCGCTCCTGTTAAGTCCAGTCCTGCTCCAGCCGGCGGGGCCAGACTGGACCAGGGGTACTATGGGGGGTGTATTGGAGGGTGGTGGTCAAGGCCGGAGCCAGAACCGCCGCCGAGGAGGTATGCCCGCCCAGCCCTCCCCTGGTTTGTTTAGTTGAGGCGCGGTCGCAGTCCGCGCCTTTAGGGGGGGGTACTGTCACACCCTGGCTCTGGGACTCATTATGTTGAGCCAGGGTGTGTTCATTTCTATGTGTGTATTTCTATGTTGGGGGTTCTAGTTTGTTGATTTCTATGTTTGCCTGTGTGACTCCCAATCAGAGGCAACGAGTGTCAGCTGTTGGCTGGTTGTCTCTGATTGGGAGCCATATTTAAACTGTATGTTTTTCCCTTTGGGTTTGTGGGTTTTTGTTCCGTGTTCGGTCATTGATACCGTGGACGTCACGAGTCGTGTTTTGTTTTGTATTTTGACGCTTTAACTAATTAAAGTCATGTTTGTTCATTATCTTTATCAAACGTCTTGCTTGATCAAAGTGCTATGTACTACGCAGCATATTATCTAACCAACACACTGGAGCAGTTAAAGGATTTCGAACGGCCCTAATAGTATGTTGTACAGTATGTAGTCAGTGAATGGAAACTTCCCACAATCCTCCATCTACCACATATTATGATCTAAAGTCAACAAACACCAGAGCATGCATTCGACTGAAAGCCCCCCCGTGCCTTGTGGCCTCGGAGGAGAAAGCCTATTCGTGTTTACATTTTGCAATATTTTAGACAAGGCATTTGAGCATGACATGTTTGTGACATAGCGTACCCTAACGGCTCGGGGCGGGCGAGCAACAACCAAGGCTTTCTGGATTTAGATTAAATAAATTAAGCTTCGTCCCTGGTGGTATTAGACACAGATGTGTACAAACAAATCTTTATAAATGTTAAGCAGAATAGCTCCAACTAGACGAGACTGTGCCAATACCCAAAAGATCTGTGGAGTGTATTGTTCTTCAGGGCACACTTCAAAGAGTCACACTTTGCATTGAGCGCACCAATTTTCAGAGAGGAAAGAAAAACAACAACAAGTGAATTGCTTTTTATTCAGAGTTATAACTAACAGATGGGATGTTTTTCCAACCTTTCCAATTAGAACCATACAGATGTAGGATCTTAATTTGAGGCAGTTTGCTACAGCAGGAAAATAATCCTGGAGCTACAGGAAATATGAATAACAGTGAGGGGAAAAAAAGTATTTGATCCCCTGCTGATTTTGTACGTTTGCCCACTGACAAAGAAATGATCAGTCTATAATTTTAATGGTAGGTTTATTTGAACAGTGAGAGACAGAATAACAACAAAAAAATCCAGAAAAACGCATGTCAAAAATGTTATAAATTGATTTGCATTTTAATGAGGGAAATAAGTATTTGACCCCTCTGTAAAACATGACTTAGTACTTGGTGGCAAAACCCTTGTTGGCAATCACAGAGGTCAGACGTTTCTTGTAGTTGGCCACCAGGTTTGCACACATCTCAGGAGGGATTTTGTACCACTCCTCTTTGCAGATCTTCTCCAAGTCATTAAGGTTTCGAGGCTGACGTTTGGCAACTCGAATCTTCAGCTCCCTCCACAGATTTTCTATGGGATTAAGGTCTGGAGACTGGCTAGGCCACTCCAGGACCTTAATGTGCTTCTTCTTGAGCCACTCCTTTGTTGCCTTGGCTGTGTGTTTTGGGTCATTGTCATGCTGGAATACCCACCCACGACCCATTTTCAATGCCCTGGCTGAGGGAAGGAGGTTCTCACCCAAGATTTGACAGTACATGGCCCTGTCCATCGTCCCTTTGATGCGGTGAAGTTGTCCTATCCCCAAGCAGAAAAATACCCCCAAAGCATAATGTTTCCACCTCCATGTTTGACGGTGGGGATGGTGTTCTTGGGGTCATAGGCAGCATTCCTCCTCCTCCAAACACGGCGAGTTGAGTTGATGCCAAAGAGCTCCATTTTGGTCTCATCTGACCACAACTTTCACCCAGTTCTCCTCTGAATCATTCAGATCGTGGATGGGTATTCCAGCATGACAATGACCCAAAACACACAGCCAAGGCAACAAAGGAGTGGCTCAAGAAGAAGCACATTAAGGTCCTGGAGTGGCCTAGCCAGTCTCCAGACCTTAATCCCATAGAAAATCTGTGGAGGGAGCTGAAGATTCGAGTTGCCATACGTCAGCCTCGAAACCTTAATGACTTGGAGAAGATCTGCAAAGAGGAGTGGGACAAAATTCCTCCTGAGATGTGTGCAAACCTGGTGGCCAACTACAAGAAACGTCTGACCCCCAACAAGGGTTTTGCCACCAAGTACTAAGTCATGTTTTACAGAGGGGTCAAATACTTATTTCCCTCATTAAAATGCAAATCAATTTATAACATTTTTGACATGCGTTTTTCTGGATTTTGTTGTTGTTATTCTGTCTCTCACTGTTCAAATAAACCTACCATTAAAACTATAGACTGATCATTTCTTTGTCAGTGGGCAAACGTACAAAATCAGCAGGGGATCAAATACCATTTTCCCTCACTGTATTATGCAGATTATAATTCATGGAAATGTTTTGTAGCGGTTGATACATTTTTCATTAGGGCAAATCAGATCTGAAATGTTAAAGTGGAAATTACAAACTTTAGAAGCCTTTTTAAACCTGGAATACACTACAAGTTTGCATTTCCTGCTGTGCAGGAAAATTCCTGCAACAACAGGATGATCAAATTAAGATAAGGCATCTGTAGCTACGCTGCTAGGACGTTGGAAAAACCTGCAATCAACGTGAAAAACAAATCATGGAATTGGGTGGGTTTCGGTGAACTTCGTTATGAAGCGTTATGAAATCAGATTGTCAATGCACTCTTAGAAAAAAGGGTGGTATCTAGAACCTAAAAGGGTTCTTCAGCTACTGTCCCCATAGGAGAACCCTTTGAATAACCCTTTTTGGTTCTAGGTAGAACCCTTTTTGCTTCCATGTAGGTCCCTTTCCACAGAGGGTTCTACGTGGAACCAGAAAGGGTTTTCCTATGGGGACAGCCAAAGAACCCTTTAGGAACCCTTTTTTCTAAGCGTGTAGGACACCACATCCTCTTCCGTAAATAATGTCACAGGAACAATCACTTCGATGTCATCCATCCATCCAGTCTTATAGTCAGAGCTATAATGCAACGCCCCCTTTATTACATTGTAATACAGTCAATAATGTGAAGAATATGCTTACAGTATGAGTATCAAAAGAGTGAAAACTCTGGCTCTGGGTGATATCATATCATGCCTTTTGAGTGCATTTCAACTAAATTGGTCTTCTTCTCTGCTCCAAACACACACGTCTTTAACATTCTTAAACTACAGTCCAGATCAGATAGATATAAACCCCTCCATAAGCGAGAGGCCTAATCTCCTCACAAATATTTAACAGCCACTTAGTACCCTCTTCCAGTTGCATTTCTGGAATGCCAACACACAAACTGTTGCTCTGTTACCATGTGCCGTGGATGGATGCATATGGTTTGTAGTACGAGCTCTGTGAATGTGATGACAGAGTTGCTGGAGGCAGCAGAGCCCACAGATGACGTAGCTCTAACCTTGTGAGAGAGCTAGCTCAGTGACAAGGCCAGTACCACGCGGTGCTAAGACGCTACCTGGTAGACACTTTGTACACTCCACAGGAACAGATGAATAACCCCTAAGGTTGATGTCCGTGCCCCCGCGGAAATCTAATTAGCAAAATACAAAAATACCCATACAAATCTGAGATAAGCTAGCTGTTTTTTGGCATTGGATGCATCTCAATCCACCGCATCCGCGGTGTACTACTTAAGTAGTTTCTTGGGGTATCTGTACTTTACTTTACTATTTATATTTTTGATTACTTTTACTTTTACTTCACTACATTCCTAAAGAAAATATTGTACTTTTTAGTCAATACATTTTCCCTGATAACCAAAAGTACTCATTACATTTTGAATGCTTAGCAGGACAGGAAAATGGTCAAATTCATGCACTTATCAAGAGAACACATTGTCATCCCTACTGCCTCTGGCCTGGCGGACTCAGTAAACACAAATGCATCTTTTGTAAATAATCTCTGAGTTTTGGAGTGTGCCCCTGGCTATCCGTACATTTTCAAAACAAGAAACTGTTGCCGTCTGCTTTGCTTAATATAAGGAATTTTAAGTGATTTATACTTTTACTTTACCTTTTGGAAAGTATATTTTAGCAATTACATTTACTTTTGATACTTAAGTATATTTAAAACCAAATACTTTTAGACTTTTACTCAAGTAGTATTTTACTGGCTGACTTTCACTTTTACTTGAGTAACTTTCTATTAAGGTATCTATACTTTTAAGTATGACAATTGGGTACTTTTTCCACCACTGTCCACCTATGTAACACTATGAAAGGTGACAGCTAGAGCGGTGTTTGTCAGACCATGAGACATCCCAAAAATCGGTATTCTCACAAAATCGTCTGTAGCGTCCGAACGGTTTGGCCTACAAAACTATTATTCAATGTGTTTTTACGGGCTAATAGCAGTAAGGCGCAAACATTTTCTTCATCAAAATATTTTTTCTATATTTTTTTGGGATACTTCAAGGGGTCTTAAAATTCAAAATCAAATAGCTAAATGATCCTTGGTATGACCTTCTTAAAACAATTCCATATAGCTTAGTAGAAGCACCCCCCTCTCCCCCGACAGGGCTTGGACTCTAGGGGGTTACAGGCACAGCCAGGGCTCCCTTGAAAAAGTTATTCTTACCTCAATGGGACTTACCTGGTTAAATAAAGGATTAAAAAAAGAAAAGTGATAAAATAGAGATATGAGTCAAAGATAGTTCTTTAGAGTGTGACCATATAATATTTATCTATTTGGAACCTATCCATGTACTAACCATGGACTCAGGCCCGTCTTTTTTCAGCTACTGAAGCTCAGCCAAAAGCAAAACCCTCTCTCCCCTGCCTCTTGAGCTTAGAGAGCCACACACCTCTCCACTGAAGACACTCAGAAACATTTGAACCAACGCAGTGTTGACCCAACATTTTCTCCCTGCATAGCGTTAGCATTAGCACTTAGCGCGGCCCCACACTAGCGGCGAGCGTGGTTAATCCGTCCGCTGGCACAGGCCCAGCACCGCCGCCATGTGTTTCTGCAGAGAGCGGCGCTCCCCCAGGAGGTGCTGTCAGCACAAACTCAGGAAACAGTTATACTGTTCATATTTTTACAAGCAGCCTCTATGTGCAGCTAAAGTGAATCATAAACTAATCACTGCCAGCTGTGGCCCGCGCTCAGGCTCAAGGAATGAGGGGAATCTTTTATATGCTGCACAGAGTATACATTTCTCCCCTGGTATTCACCTTCCCTGATCATCATCCTCCTTCTCCTCCTCCTCCTCCTCCTCTCTTGACAGCCTTTTTCCAGCCAGCTAGCCACCCCTTACCCCTTCTTCTGCTGTGAGAGAGTGGTTGACCCCTGACCTCTGACTTCTAGGTAGATTGACAGAGAGGCTGCTACCAGATAGGCTATTGACCGAGATCAGGGTGGATGATGAGGGCTAGGGGTGAGATGTTGGGGTGAGGGTTTCAGATCGATGATGAGGGCTAGGGGTGAGATGTTGGGGTGAGGGTTTCAGATTGATGATGAGGGCTAGGGGTGAGATGTTGGGGTGAGGGTTTCAAATCGATGATGAGGGCTAGGGGTGAGATGTTGGGGTGAGGGTTTCAGATCGATGATGAGTGCTAGGGGTGAGATGTTGGGGTGAGGGTTTCAGATCGATGATGAGTGCTAGGGGTGAGATGTTGGGGTGAGGGTTTCAGATTGAAGGGGGAAGAGAGTGAGTGTAAAAGAACTGAGAGGCAAATGTTTGTGAGAACTCACTGCTTGAAGCATTCAGCCAGAGCGTCTTTGACACAGCTTACTGGCAATAGTACGGTGGATAGGGCTCAGCGACTATGACTCAGTTTACCTGACTTATTTGACTCAGTTTACCTGACTTAGGGAATATGACTCAGTTTACTTGATTTAGGGAATAGGACTCAGTTTACCTGACTTACAGTGGGGAAAAAAGTATTTAGTCAGCCACCAATTGTGCAAGTTCTCCCACTTAAAAAGATGAGAGAGGCCTGTAATTTTCATCATAGGTACACGTCAACTATGACAGACAAATGGAGATTTTTTTTTCCAGAAAATCACATTGTAGGATTTTTAATGAATTTATTTGCAAATTATGGTGGAAAATAAGTATTTGGTCACCTACAAACAAGCAAGATTTCTGGCTCTCACAGACCTGTAACTTCTTCTTTAAGAGGCTCCTCTGTCCTCAACTCGTTACCTGTATTAATGGCACCTGTTTGAACTTGTTATCAGTATAAAAGACACCTGTCCACAACCTCAAACAGTCACACTCCAAACTCCACTATGGCCAAGACCAAAGAGCTGTCAAAGACCCAGAAACAAATTTGTCAAAGGACTACCAGAAACAAAATTGAGGCACATTAACGTCATTTAGCAGACGCTCTTAGCCAGAGCGACTCACAAATTGGTGCGTTCACCCTATAGCCAGTGGGATAACCACTTTACAATTTGGGGGGGGGGGGGTTAGAAGGAATACTTTAGCCTATCCCAGGTATTCCTTAAAGAGGTGGGGTTTCAAATGTCTCCGGAAGGTGGTGAGTGACTCCGCTGTCCTGGCGTCGTGAGGGAGCTTGTTCCACCATTGGGGTGCCAGAGCAGCGAACAGTTTTGACTGGGCTGAGCGGGAGCTGTGCTTCCGCAGAGGAAGGGGAGCCAGCAGGCCAGAGGTGGATGAACGCAATGTCCTCGTTTGGGTGTAGGGACTGATCAGAGCCTGAAGGTACAGGGGTGCCGTTCCCCTCACTGCTCCAAAGGCAAGCACCATGGTCTTGTAGCGGATGCGAGCTTCAATTGGAAGCCAGTGGAGTGTGCGGAGGAGGGGGGTGACGTGAGAGAACTTGGGAAGGTTGAACACCAGACGGGCTGCGGCATTCTGGATGAGTTGTAGGGGTTTAATGGCACAGGCAGGGAGCCCAGCCAACAGCGAGTTGCAGTAGTCCAGACGGGAATGACAAGTGCCTGGACCAGGACCTGCGCCGCTTCCTGTGTAAGGCAGGGTCGCACTCTCCGAATGTTGTAGAGCATGAACCTGCAGGAGCGGGTCACCGCCTTGATGTTGGCGGAGAACGACAGGGTGTTGTCCAGGGTCACGCCTAGGCTCTTCGCACTCTGGGAGGAGGACACAGCGGAGTTGTCTACCGTGATGGCGAGATCATGGAACGGGCAGTCCTTCCCCGGGAGGAAGAGCAGCTCCGTCTTGCCAGGGTTCAGCTTGAGACCTGCACCAGGCTGGGAAGACTGAATCTGCAATAGGTAAGCAGCTTGGTTTGAAGAAATCAACTGTGGGAGCGATTATTAGGAAATGGAAGACATACAAGACCACTGATAATCTCCCTCGATCTGGGGCTCCACACAAGATCTCACCCCGTGGGGTCAAAATGATCACAAGAACGGTGAGCAAAAAACCCAGAACCACACAGGGGCACCTAGTGAATGATCTGCAGAGAGCTGGGACCAAAGTAACAAAGCCTACCATCAGTAACACACTACGCCGCCAGGGACTCAAATCCTGCAGTGCCAGACGTGTCCCCCTGCTTAAGCCAGTACATGTCCAGGCCCGTCTGAAGTTTGCTAGAGTGCATTTGGATGATCAAGAAGAGGATTGGGAGAATGTCATATGGTCAGATGAAACCAAAATATAACTTTTTGGTAAAAACTCAACTCGTCGTGTTTGGAGGACAAAGAATGCTGAGTTGCATCCTAAGAACACCATACCTAATGTGAAGCATGGGGGTGTAAACATCATGCTTTGGGGCTGTTTTTCTGCAAAGGGACCAGGACGACTGATCCGTGTAAAGGAAAGAATGAATGGGGCCATGTATCGTGAGATTTTGAGTGAAAACCTCCTTCCATCAGCAAGGGCATTGAAGATGAAACGTGGCTGGGTCTTTCAGGATGACAATGATCCCAAACACACCGCCCGGGCAACGAAGGAGTGGCTTCGTAAGAAGAATTTCAAGGTCCTGGAGTGGCCTAGCCAGTCTGAAGATCTCAACCCCATAGAAAATCTTTGGAGGGAGTTCAAATTCCGTGTTGCCCAGCGACAGCCCCAAAACATCACTGCTCTAGAGGAGATCTGAATGGAGGAATGGGCCAAAATAACAGCAACAGTGTGTGAAAACCTTGTGAAGACTTACAGAAAACGTTTGACCTGTGTCATTGCCAACAAAGGGTATATAACAAAGTTTTGAGAAACTTTTGTTATTGACCAAATACTTATTTTCCACCATAATTTGCAAATAAATTCATTAAAAATCCTACAATGTGATTTTCTGGAAAAAAAATTCTCATTTTGTCTGTCATAGTTGACGTGTACCTATGATGAAAATGACAGGCCTCTCTCATCTTTTTAAGTGGGAGAACTTGCACAATTGGTGGCTGACTAAATACTTTTTCCCCCCACTGTATATGACTCAGTGAATATGACTCAATGAAATACGTTGAAGTGAAAATGATTCCGGGAATACGATTTGATTCAGCAGACATACAGTTGAAGTCGGAAGTTTACATACACCTTAGCCAAATACATTTAAACTCAGTTTTTCACAATTCCTGACATTTAATCCTAGTAACAATTCCCTGTCTTAGGTCAGTTAGGATCACCACTTCATTTTAAGAATGTGAAATGTTAGAATAATAGTAGAGAGAATGATTTATTTCAGCTTTTATTTATTTCATCACATTCCCAGTGGGTCAGAAGTTTACATACACTCAATTAGTATTTGGTAGCCTTCCACAACTTTTAACTTGGGTCAAACGTTTTGGGTAGCCTTCCTCAAGCTTCACACAATAAGTTGGGTGAATTCTTGCCCATTCCTCCTGACAGAGCTGGTGTAACTGAGTCAGGTTTGTAGGCCTCATTGATCGCACACGCCTTTCCAGTTATGCCCACAAATGTTCTATAGGATTGATGTCAGGGCTTTGTGATGGCCACTCCAATACCTTGACTTTGTTGTCCTTAAGCCATTTTGCCACAACTTTGGAAGTATGCTTGGGGTCATTGTCCTTTTGGAAGACCCATTTGCGACCAAGCTTTAATTTCTTGACTGATGTCTTGAGATGTTGCTTCAATATATTCACATAATTTTCCTTCCTCATGATTCCATCTATTTTGTGAAGTGCACCAGTCCCTCCTGCAGCAAAGCACCCCCACAGCATGATGCTGCCACCCAAGTGCTTCACTGTTGGGATGGTGTTCTTCGGCTTGCAAGCAACCCCCTTTTTCCTCCAAACATAGCGATGGTCATTATGGCCAAACAGTTCTATTTTTGTTTCATCAGACCAGAGGACATTTCTCCAAAAAGTACGATCTTTGTCCCTATGTGCAGTTGCAAACCGTAGTCTGGCTTTTTTATGGCGGTTTTGGAGCAGTGGCTTCTTCCTTGCTGAGCAGCCTTTCAGGTTATGTCAATATAGGATTCATTTTACTGTAGATATAGATACTTTTGTACCTGTTTCCTCCAGCATCTTCACAAGGTGCTTTGCTGTTGTTCTGGGATTGATTTGCACTTTTCGCACCAAAGTACGTTCATCTCTAGGAGATAGAACGCGTCTCCTTTCTGAGCGGTATGACGGCTGCGTGGTCCCATGGTGTTTATACTTGCAAACTATTGTTTGTACAGAACGTGATACCTTCAGGTGTTTGGAAATTTCTCCCAAGGATGAACCAGACTCTTGGCTGATTTCTTTTGATTTTCCCATGATGTCAAGCAAAGAGGCAATGAGTTTGAAGGTAGGTGTTGAAATACATCCACAGGTACACCTCCAATTGACTCAAATGATGTCAATTAGCCTATCAGAAGCTTCTAAAGCTGTTTAAAGGCACAGTCAACTTAGTGTATGTAAACTTCTGACCCACTGGAATTGTGATACAGTGAATTATAAGTGAAATAATCTGTCTGTAAACAATTGTTGGAAAATTATTTGTGTCATGCACAAAGTAGATGTCCTAACCGACTTGCCAAAACTATAGTTTGTTAACAAGAAATGTATGGAGTGGTTGAAAAACGAGTTTTAATGACTCCAACCTAAGTGTATGTAAACTTCTGACCCACTGGAATTGTGATACAGTGAATTATAAGTGAAATAATCTGTCTGTAAACAATTGTTGGAAAATTATTTGTGTCATGCACAAAGTAGATGTCCTAACCGACTTGCCAAAACTATAGTTTGTTAACAAGAAATTTATGGAGTGGTTGAAAAACGAGTTTTAATGACTCCAACCTAAGTGTATGTAAACTTCCGACTTCAACTGTAGATTGAGCCTTGCAATAAGCTTGGCTTCAGAACTCTTAGGACAGACCAAAAGGATCAAGACTACACATTCCAACATGGGCACTGTAACATCACCCTCGTGCCAAAACAATCCAACCAAACGTATTCACATTCCTACAACACAAGCAGGCATGTATGAAGTGACATGGACATTATCAGAACTGGATACTCTGTCTGGTTATATACAGTCTATAAGAAGCCAAAAATACAATTGGCAGTGATGCAATCCTTCACCGTTCTAGGATCTGTCCTCTAAGGCTTTGTTCCTCAGGGATAAGGGGATGGAAAGAAAAATGGAATGAGAGCACGCTGCTCTGAATGAAGATTCATGAGGAGAGCTGCTCTGCTCCTCGTTCGTCTTTCGTCACCTGCCCTTCCTGTCCCACTGGGGACCATGGATCAGACCCCTCTTCCCCCCGTCCGTCCATGGATCAGACCCCTCTTCCCTCCGTCCGTCCATGAATCAGACCCCCCTTCCCTCTGTCCGTCCATCGATCAGTCCCTCCTTCCCTTCGTCCGTCCATAGATCAGACCCCCCTTCTCCCCGTCCGTCCCCCTTCGGTGGCCCACCGTTAAGCACCTCTGATGGATGGGCTAGGGTGGCTTGGTGCGGGACGGGGGAAACACGCCTGGTTCTGGTTAGCGTGCTAAAGCCACGCGTGAGAGACGGGCCGCTCTGAGCTAACCTAACCCTATGGCCCAAACCTAAGCAGTCAAGGAGCTTTTCCTGGGCCCATATAAGCTATCTGTCAGTTTTATTGAGCTAACTGCCGGAAACACTGTAGGAAACACTGAAACACTTCATAAATGCCATCTGTTGTAAAATAATATCAATACACAGGAAAAATGCCATTATAGAAGGCACTGAATGACAACCTTTACCACCCATCACCACTATAGCTAAAGCCTTCACCAACTGTAGAATGGGCACATCTGGGAGAGGCCCCAAGTGTCTCTAGCTCCTGCTCTGAGCTTCATGTGTATACCACGGATCACAGAAAACTTATTTTAACTGGCATATTTTAATATTAGCTTCAGAAAAATGACACTGGTATTTACAAAGTAAAATGACTCTAAATGGCCCATTTGAGCCAGGGTAAACACATTTAGCTATGAGGTCAGAGGCTGCCGCAGCACTAGTCAGGTTAGTTAGCTCATTTTGTCAAAATGTTTAATGTCCTGCTAAACCGTTTGGGAAAACAAGTGTGGCGTTGCTATTGACTTTGGCAGCGGCATGTATACTCAAGGCTTTAAACATGTAATCAAATGCTCCACCTTTAGGCAAATATAAGTAGAAGTTTCATACCCAGCTTGTAGGTCCTGGCTCAGCTATCTCTCTCTCTTAGATGGGCTGATAAAGTAGTCCAGTGACCGAATGTAGTACATTTTCTTCGGTTAGATATTCGTACATTTCCTTCAGTTAGATATTCGTACATTTCCTTCGGTTAGATATTCGTACATTTCCTTCGGTTAGATATTCGTACATTTCCTTCGGTTAGATATTCGTACATTTCCTTCGGTTAGATATTCGTACATTTTATTCAGCTAGATATTCATAAATTGTCTTTGGTTAGATATTCGTACATTTTCTTTCGTTAGATATTCGTACATTTCCTTTGGTTAGATATTCCAATTTGATGAAATACACAAATTGCTGTAATTCTCGTAATGAAACGCTGTCATCGCATCACAGACGTACAGGTAGGAGCGTTGGGTGGGAAAACGGACAGACGTGAACCAGAGCGATCACTTATGTCTTACCAGCTGGCACTTTATTTTCATTTGTAGGGAAACTTACTGTCCACTCACAGTGGTCTATTTCAGATGGACCTCATCAACCTTGCTGAAAAACAGATCCCGGTCTCACATCCAATATGTCATCATAGTTGTGTGTGTGTGTGTGCGCGCGCGTGCGTTCGACTGTGTGTGTGTTGTAGTGTAACTGGTGTTACAATATCCTCAGCACCCTCTTTTCACTTTCCGTCTCTCTCCAAGTAGCAGTATTTGTATGTAGTACTACGTACCAAGAAGTCCTGAAACCGCATTGTAATTCTACAGAGCTCTATTCCTGCTGTTAATGCTTGAAAAAACATATAACCTTCCAGAAAGTACCCGGTCTAACATGACAACTCATTGCAGCTCCAGCACGTTTACAAAGGTTACGGTTCCATGTCTGCTTTTCTCACTGTTTATGCTGGAAACGGACCTGTCCACCATGTCTTACGCCAAATTCACAAGTAATCATGTGTGTTTCCTAGAATGTATCTTGTTATACACACACACACACACACACACACACACACACACACACACACACACACACACCTATTCTCACAGTCACACAGACACACACACCAATCTAAGTAAAACAATTATTGTGTTACCATTTTTGCCATGCTTGATTGTATCCCAATTGCCTCCCAATGATTTTTAATGCTGAAAAGGCTATTTTTCTCTCTCTGGTTTTCACCCTGTTGTGTTGTACAGCACACACAGTGCCTCCTGGTGACAGGTTGGCTTTGTTACTGTGCTCTGCTGGATCTCATAGACACTAATAGGAAACATGCTAAGAGAGAGTGAGAGCATCTAGATCTTCTGCACAGATTCTGTCAGACCTGGGCCCTGACAGTAAATCTCAGTAAGACAAAAATAATGGTGTTCCAAAAAAAGGTTGCCAGGACCACAAATACAAATTCCATCTAGACACCGTTGCCCTAGAGCACACAAAAAAACGATACATACCTCGGCCTAAACATCAGCGCCACAGGTAACTTCCACAACGCTGTGAACGATCTGAGAGACAAGGCAAGAAGGGCCTTCTATGCCATCAAAAGGAACATACAATTCGACATACCAATTAGGATCTGGCTAAAAATACTTGAATCAGTTATAGAACCCATTGCCCGTTATGGTTGTGAGGTCTGGGGTCCGCTCACCAACCAAGAATTCACAAAATGGGACAAACACCAAATTGAGTCTGCAAAAATATCCTCAGTGTACAACGAAAAACACCAAATAATGCATGCAGAGCAGAATTAGGCTGATACCCGCTAATTATCAAAATCCAGAAAAGAGATGTAAAATTCTATAACCACATAAAAGGAAGCAATTCCCAAACCTTCCAAAACAAAGCCATCACCTACAGAGAGATGACTTGGGAGTACGTCCCCTAACAACTGTCCTGGGCTCTGTTCACAAACATAGCCCACAGATGCCCAGGGACAACAAATTAGACCAACCCAAATCAGAAACAAAAAAGAGAATTCTTGACACATTGGAAGAATTAACAAAACAAGAGCAAACTAGAATTGCATTTGGCCTAAACAGAGAGTACACAGGCAATACTGACCACTTGACTGCCCAAACTAAGGAAACAAAGAGAATTACTTGACACATTGAGATACAATACAAGAGCCTTGCTATTGGCCTAAACAGGAGCTCCAGTGCAGAATACCTACCCTTCTGCCCCTTGACCTCTTCTTGTCACTCAGTACATCCTTGCTCTCTCTCTCTCCTCTCTCCTCTCTCTCTCCTCTCTCTCTCTCTCTCCTCTCTCTCTCTCTCTCTCTCTCTCTCTCTGGCAAGAGATTTGTGTGGATTTTTGGGGAAGTTTCTACACAATTTAAAAACTCTAAAATGCTATTTGGAGAACAGCAAAAACAAACAGAATTGACCCCATCCATTAATTATCACCGCAATATTAAGTTTAACGGTAGGTGGAACGGCATACACAATGTCAACCACTACTCAATCTCATCATAAATTGACTCATTTGCTTGTGGAACGAAGCATACAGTGCAACGTGGAATAGATGCACACTACATGCGATCAAGTCACTACAAGGCAAACATCAGCAGTAGGCGCGTGAGTTTCAAGTTTGGGGAAGCCATTTATTCACCATAAAATTGCACCTTTATAATAAAGGATTGCATGCATATCATCACGTTTGCAGACTAATGTCAGATAGGCTACTATTCTTAATGTGATGAGTAGATTGCATAGTCATAATTAAGGCTAATAATATAAGTCAATCACTATTAGCAAAACAGACAGCTCTGAACTGTGCATGCCTGAGCGGCCTGGTGTTATAGGACTAATCAGAGACGTTGCTTCTCCTTTCTTTGCATGTGAAAAATGTTTGCATTCTATATACACATTTCATGCAATTCTACTTAACTTTACATGACACATAAGCAACATATCCCTGGTGAGCGTGTTCACGGTCCTTATCATTGGCTCAAATTAATATCTTACATCTGTATGACGTCGATCTAGCCTGGAGGAGGGAATTATTGACCCAAACTTTCCAGTGGTACTGATCCAATGACAAAGACAGTGAATATGCACACACTTACTGTGAATATGTTGCTTATGTGTCACATGTCATACATTAGTCTGCAAACGGTGCAATTTTATGGTGAATAAATGGCTTCCCCAAACTTGAAACTCACGCGCCGCCTGCTGATGTTTGCCTTGTAGTGACTTGATAGCATGTAGTGTGCATCTATTCCACGTTGCACTGTATGCTTCGTTCCACAAGCAAATGAGTCAATTTATGATGAGATTGAGTAGTGGTTGACATTGTGTATGCCGTTCCACCTACCGTTAAACTTAATATTGCGGTGATAATTAATGGATGGGGTCAATTTTGTTCGTTTTTGCTGTTCTCCAAATAGCATTTTAGAGTTTTTAAATTGTGTAGAAATGCAGTAAATGAGCTTCAACTTCTAACCCCCCCACAACCCACAACCCACTTGCCATACCCTATACCCTATTTGCATACCCTAGGTTTAGCTGAATTGATGCCACTGAACAAGGGTATACCCAACTGAGTGTGTGTATGATGAACTACATGTAACAGTAGTGTATGTATAGTAGGGAACTCACCCGCCGCGTGTGCTCTCCATGGTGGACAGAGGGGACAGAGGATGCGGGCTGCTCAGGTCTCGTTCCAGGCGGGGCTGCCTGGGGGGCAGATCAGGGGCTGAGGCTGAGCCAGTGGTGGGGGCTGGTCCTGGGGAGAGGAGCTCCACCGAGACACTGTGATGGGGGGTGCTGGAGCCAGTGTACAGGCCTGAAAGACAAACAAAGTTAATTCATAAAATGTGCCGAATCAACTCGAGGCCCTTGCTCAGCCATGTTCCCTTTGACCAAATTAAATGGCTTTTCATGGCAACAAGCTTTTGTTTTGACAACTGATCATCCAATCAGAGAAGGCTTTGAAAAAGAAATGTTCTGTTGTTTTGTGCTGTTTGTGATTTACAGTACATTATTTGTGCTGCCACAGGGGTTGGCCTTGATTGTCCTTTAAAGTGGAACTGACAGCGTTTTAGCAACATGAAATGTATACACCCCCAGGAAGAATATGACACCTTTTTTTTGTACATTTTCTGAGAAGCGAGCGCTTAGATATGGTCATTTTCACATTTTCATAAATTCATAGAATGTTTGAGAATTACA